TTCAACCCCTCCCCCGAACCTCTTTCTATTCAGATCTGTTTACTACTACAAAAAACTGACGAGAAATCAGACCAGACCTTAGTTCGTACCAGCCAACTGGCTGGATTCTTCTTATCCAATACTTCGACAATCTGACCCTGTTCCAAGGGAATACCCTCAACATCGGTGCTTTCTGGTTGATAGTCCTGGATCGCGATATAAACCGGATACGATCGTGTATCAGAGCCCTGAACAGCTGTATTTCATTGAGTTGCACTTGCAATGTTTGCATAGATGTGCTGAAATATTGATTGTTACATCGAATAAAATTCGAGGAATCCAAGCGAAAATTCGATTTTCACCAAGATTTCCTATATTTAGCCCAACTTTGCGAAATCACTGAAGCAGTACCGTAATGATTTCCGAGCTCACTGAACGTCCACGTCCGTCACTTCGTGACGTCATCGACTCGGATCGAAAACTCGATCGAGACGAATGAGCACTGTAGTTCACATCCTCGTTTGCGGTGTATTTTCTGAAAAAAAAAAAAAATTGAAAAATCTCTCTTGAACATATCTGCCGGTAGGGCTAAACCTCAAGGGTTTTCCATTGCAACTTTTTTAGGTCCTGTGTAATGCAGAGCCCGACGGATGAGGCGCCTGGGGCCCATTATCAGTTCTTTACACCTGGGCAAAAACAGGTTGTTTTAGAGTTGAGGTGAAGGATAACAGGGCTTGGTTTACGTTTTATATAGGGTGGGCAACCCTTTAACACCCCTTATGGACGCAGGAGTAGCCTGTGCCTAGCGTACATCATTTGAACTGTTTCCAGTACTGGCGCTCTGCGCTGCCACTCTGGGACTGACTATGGTCATGCGTTTCTGATCGGCAAGGACAGGATCGCAAACGAAAAAATCCTAAAAGCAGAAGCATCCCACGTCACTAAATTTAGTGCGCGGCCACGCCCTTCCTATCTCCGAGATATGGAGTGCATCTATATGCATCGTAGAGCCTCTAGAACAAGAATAATCCTACTGCAATGATTGCCGGGAAACCTTAGCCCGTACCTCACTCCTAAAAGCTTCCTACAGCTCTCTTGTACGACCATTCTCTACCAGGAGTCCATGACTTCACCTCCTCGCCTTCAGTCAGCTCTCGGAAGCGGACCTGTCGAGGTGCACGGACTGAAGAGGGTTGCGGAGAGCTTTACCACAAAAGCTTTTCAAACGCGTTACCAGCTGGTCGACAGGTCCGCTTTTCGGAACTAATTGGAGGGGGAGGAGGTGCACGGATGGACTTCCAAGTTGAAAGTGGTCGTACAGAGGTGAGGACGGAGGTGGAACGATGGACTACCAGGTTGGAACTGGTGATACAGGCTACGAAGCTATAGAGAGCTTTAGTGGGAGGGAATTCCCATAGAAAACGGATAAAGTCCTCACCTTCTCCCCAAAATTCTCACCCTCCTTCACCTAAAAGCACACCCTTCATACTTCTCCATCAACAATGAGCCGAATAGGGCTCAATTAAGACTCCCACTTCCTGATGACTCTTCATACATTCCGTGCTCTGCTGGTTGGCGAAAACTCAGATCATTCAGTGACACTGAGGCAGCGAATATAACCCGCGCTGTCGCCATTTTTCTACGCTCGGATAAATCTGGTACTATAGGAAGTAGGAGGTAAATGATCGAGGTAAATGATCCAGGATCAATCACATTCAGCCCGGGAGTTCCAACAAAGTGCAAACGAACGGCTGGAAAAACCTCCGAGGCAGAAGTTTACACCTCGTAGCAAGATTAGCAAAAGCTTTAGCGGACCCATTGCGGTGAGGTAATTGGGATGATAAACGAAAATTAAACCATCTGACCCTCCCAAACCAAATCTTCCGGGTAATCGATACCCGAAGATATATATCATGCAGATTTCCTGGCTTTTATGTGTGCGCTTCAGTTTTCGCACTGTTCCTCGAGCACTTCGTGGGCGTCGAGAGAGCAGCGGCGGATTGCAAACAAATCCACAACTGGACACCTGTGCGGCGGCACAGACAACGAAACAAAATACTCAGCAAAAAAAACTGTTTCAGGACGGAGCGGTTCCCCGGCTATGAGGGAAACCTTGGCCCGGCCATCTCCTCAAAAAATCCAGGTAATCCTGAGGGCTCTAGAATAAGTTCAAAGCACCACGTATGTCCGTCTTAGCACCAAAGTAGCCCTGATATTCAAGGTTTTGGGCCGAGACAGGAGAGCGTGACCTTTTCATGGTAAATATTTCGAATAGAAACCGGAAAGCAAGAGCTCCACCACGTGAGCCTCCTGTCCTACTGACATGATGAATAGCCAAGAAAAAACCGCGAGGCATCACGTCGAGAGATCGCGCCACAGAAAAGCAAGATGAAGCTGAGATAAGCGCGGATTCACCTGTAAGAACTGTACTTGCGGTCGAATTGCCTTTGGCGACGACTCGCCATCGCGATTTCGTCCCGTCGGTGGCGCTGAACAGCGTGTGCGTACGCTCTCAGCTGTCAGATGATGATTCCTTAGATGAAGCGATAGAATCAGCTAAATGTGTCAACACGATTCGGTCGAGAAGCGTTCGTCGTGAAACTAGCGATCTTTGCTTCGGCGCCGGCCCAGCCGAGTTGCAAAGAGGCGAATGGAGATGAAGGGGGATTGCTCGGGTGTTGGCGACCTCCTCACCATCGCCCCTCCCTTACCCCTCCTCCCTCCTCAGGCCTACGCGTCCACGTCCGCACCTACTGTTACACAACACCTAGACGCTATCAGGCACGCATGAACTTTTAAACTTGCAATTAGATACGAGAGATTTCCCTTCGCCAATCCATAGGGTGAGATTCTTCAAGGTCAAATGACTCCCAAACTGCTTTACTGAAAGGATCTAGAAGAACAAAGAATAGTGATTGATTGACCATACCCGACTCTCATAAATCACAGCTGAACTGCAGTACATTCAAGCTCTAGCGCTTATCCTCCTGAGTTCCTTCACGAAAGGTTAACCATTGGCTCCTAAACGCGCCAGATCAGTTTGATATCCAGAAAAGATTGGTACACCTGAAGCAGCTCAAGCATCTCCAGCTCTGATACGGAACTCACGACTAGAGGTGCACGAGGTGCAGACAGCTTTGGCGGAACTAGATCCCAAGAGTGTGGGAGTGATAGAAGCGCCGCCTTCCCACTGCTCTTTACAAAGTCTTCGTCGTGATTCTAGCTTTGACCTCTCTCTGGTAAATGCTAAAGCGAACTGAAGGAATAGTAAGTTTTTAGAAGTTATAGAAGAAGCAAAATTTCAAATCTCGAGCAAATATTATAGGTTGGAAAGAAAGTCCTGTCAGTGTTTTTTAGATAGCCTACAGTTTTTGATCTTCGGAGCTCGAACATGACGTAACATGCTAAGGTTGTAGAACATTCTCGAAGCTTTTCCACAAGAGGTATATCAAGGCTCCTGCTCTTCCCTGTGTTTATTTATGATGTCAGTTTCACTGGAGCAGCTTCGAGTGATCATCTTCTATGAGTGGCGCCGCGGCACTGGAGCGACGGCAGCGGCCCGTAACATCAACTGTGCATTGGGGGAGGACACCACCACCGTCAGGACTGTCCACCGTTGGTTCGCTCGCTTCGCGAAAGGAGAGGACGACGCACCTCTTGGAAGACAAAACCTCGTCTGGGACGCCCTCGCGGCGTAGAAGATTCCGCCGTTCTCGAACCTGTCAGAGAGGATCCAGAGGCTACCACGCGCAGTATTGCGACAAGGCTAGGGTGTAGCCATACAACAGAGCCACAATATTACATAGCCGCCTTCAAGGCCCTTCGGCTACAGAATAAGGTCCTTCACGCAATGGGGATACCATGCTCTAACAGACAGCACGCGGTAAGCCAGAGGTGAGCGATGTCAATCCCTCTTCTACACCGTAACCGGAAGGAGTTTCTAGAGGATATTGTGACTGGCGAGATGAAAGCTGGGTCCTCTATGATTCCAACCTACGTCGTGCCATGTGGCTCCCTCGAGGAGAAGACCCGCCTACGCAACCCAGATCGAACCTGCACTCCAAGAAGGTCCTCCTCTGCTGCTTCTGGGATTCGAAGGGCATGCTGCACCACGAGCTGCTTCCGCAAGGGCATACGGTTACCGCTACCGTTTACGCCGCCCAACTCCAGAAACTCGCGCAAGCTCTTCGAGAAAAGCGGCCGAGACGAGCTTCGGTGCACCTCCTCCATGATAACGCCAGACCACATGTGGCTAAAGAGACCCACCGCCAAATTGAGGAGCTAGGCTGGGAGACCGTTCCCCATCCACCATATTCTCCAGACCTAGCCCCCTCCGACTACTACTTGTTCCGCTCCCTCAAGGCTTTCCTAGGTAAGAAAACCTTCAGCGAATTTGATGGCATCAATCGAGAAGTTGCCTACTTCTTCGACTCGCAGCCTCCTCAGTTCTGGGAGAAGGGGATAGCTGAGTTGCCCATTAGGTGGAGCACTGTAGTGGCTAACAATGGCGATTATATTATTGATTAGTTTTTATTTCATGTTGAGTTAGAAAATAAAAAAGAAAAAAATCACAACAGTGACAGGACTTTCTTTCCAACCTATACATGTTTTCAGGTCTGGAATCCGACGGCTCCTACACTTAGCACCAGGGCACAGTGTTCGATGGGGATTCCCTATGGAATGGGTCGTATTTGGCCGCCAAAAAGGGGGGTCGTATTTGGGTTGGGAAAAACTTATTTGATTTTTCTCGCTTTGCGGACGTTTTGGAGGGGGGGGTCGTATTTGGTCGTTGTTGGGAGGGGGGTCGTATTTCTGGCTAGGAGTTACGTGGTTCACTTCATGGGTTTTATGAATTTTCTGTGTTATAGGTACTATGTACGCCCGTACGATGTACTGTGCAATGCCTTGCTACGATACTCGCCCGCTGGCGACAACTTTTTCGCCGAGTATAAACCACAACCACAGTCAGCCATGTCAGCCATCGTACGAGCATGGGGGGGTCGTACCAGCCCCTGAAAAAAAAGGGGGGGCCGTCGTAACAGCGTCGAACCCAAAATCCCATTCGAATGATGTGCCCTGCTTAGCACTGCTGTGCGTCACGAGCGTTACGACATTTTGTTTCTTGGCAGTCGTACCAGTACCAAGAAAGGAAACATTACGACGGGCAGTCGCTCAAATAAGTACCCCTCACATCGAACCTGCCCACTTCGGAATGTCCTACCGTATACCATGTTAATAACAAGGGAGGAGGGATGGGGTGGGGGCGAATGACCGGTCCCCCAGATATAGCATCGTCCTGGTCCAGTTCCATTCTCCGGTCTTGACTAAATGGTAAAAGGCTCGCCTGAGGTGATATAAGCGCTGACACGTACACATGTACATAGACTGACCCCCGAAGCCACTTTCTCCGCTCAAAAGTGCATTGGAACGGGGCTGAAGGGTTGCGTTGCTCGGGTACCGTTTGGAATGGCGCACGCGCTGTCGCTTTGCTAGCGCATGCCTAATCGCGTCTCAGGGCACTTGTGAACCGGGAAGCCTCTCTTCTCTTTCCTTTATTTCAAAGCTCATGGATAAGAAAATTTGGAAAAAAAATTGAAACGAATTTCCAGCACGAGAGGAGTGCGGTAAAGGGACCGAACGCAGCCAATCAAGCGAAAGGATTATAACAGGAAGCGCTCCTTCGGCGCGATCACATCTCTGACAGGTTATGGTACTCCTTTACGAAAGTTATATAACTCGTCCGAATCACTGAACTATAGGATTGTCGTATTTGACAGGCTACATAAAGCCAAGAATGTTGGTTTCCACACATCTGCTTCTCAACTGGGATATCGCCTAATAATCAGTTCAGATATCCTTTAGTTTAGAGCTTTGGACAAGCTTTCCTACCTGTAAGGCGGTTTACCTAATATGTCAGGAGTGGCAAAGAAGTTGCGCCATACGACACGCACCAGTTATGTCGACATGACATTAAAGGCAGTTGGCACGATAAATCCCCCAAGACGACTAGGATCAATACTCCTGGCAGGATAGAATTCCGCGACCCTGGGCAGGCGCTGCATAGCGGTTTCCCCGAGGAAGGTGCCCTTATAAGGGCCCTATCAAGCCACAACTTTACGTCCCAAACGCCCGCCACGCCCGCCCGCCCACAAATGGACGACCGTTCCTGACGCTCTAATCGATTCATTTGCTAAGCAAATTATGAAGCGAAGGGATTGGTATGAAGCGGCCGTGATGCTGCATGCATACATGGGTACACATATGCAGCCGTATCTTCGGTAGCGGTGATTGGCAAGATGCCTACGGGAAACTCGTCCGAAATCGATTTACAAGTCACTGAGAACGGAGGCTTTTTCTTCGCAGGATTTTGACCGTTTCACTCCGTTCTTTCGCCATTTCCCCACTATACAGCGCCCTACTAGCATTTTAGGCTAAGTAGGAAACCATCGTGCCAACTGCCTTTAAATGAGCTCGAGCCATCTGAAAACTCAGTGCTGAAGCTGATACTAGAGCTGAACGGTAAGCTACCTAACTAAGCATTATGTAACGGTAGATACGAAGCTTTCGTATT